GAGAAAAGTCTCAAGCAGCCCTCTCGGCTTGGATGTCTGTTCGCTCGGAAACGACGTACCATATAGCCGCCTCAATGATCTTGCACACAATCCTCAGCTCGTGGTCATCTGTAAGGCACAGTCAGCGTTGGTGAAAAACGATATGGGCCAGACCTGATTTCCTGCACCCCGCCACCCCCTTTCCCGCGATGATGTATATATCTTTGTTCGCCTTCGTTGATGGCTCTCTGCCGGAACCAGAAAAAGGAGTGAACTGTGTGACATCTAGCCGTCACCCGCCGCCGCCACGAAGAGCAAGGCAGCGTTTTCCCCAAAAAAAATCTAAGATCATTTGTGTGTGTGAAGAAACGTACCTCGCGGAGCATATACCATGACGAACTCTTCCGGCACGGGCATCCTCACCAACGTCCCCTTCCACGCCAACGGATGCCGCTGGCCCCAGCCCTTGGCCAGCACCTCTCGAATGTCCTCGGGATGGAGGTTCATGTGCAAGCTGTGATCCGAGTCGTGGACGTGGCAGACCTCGCCGTTGCACGTAACGTTGACGGGGTGCCGCGCAAACAGGGCCAGGCCGTGCTTCTCAAGGCAGGACCTCGCGGTACCGAATCGTGCCGGGTTCGAGGCCGCGAGCTTCTGCAACGTCTTGCGGAGGGCGTGGTAGTGCGGCACCGTGCCGTGCTGATCCAACTGCCTCTGCGGCGCGATGCCGGCGACCTGCGGTCGGGGACCAGGGCGGTATGGTAGTCGGGCGAGGTCTCCATCCTGGCGGAGGATGCCTCGCTTTGGGAGGATGTTTGGTCTCGCCTCGGGCGCCGTAAAGGGGTCTCGGAGGGCCCAGAGCCGCAGCCAGGCTATCCGAACATAGCCTTGGAACGTAGCAGGCGTCCCACCCGGTCCGAGGCCCAGGAAGTTGTGGTAGTCGTTCCGCACGAGCAGCAGAATGGGGACGATGACGAGAAGTGTCTCGGCGATCCTGGGTTCGAGGAAGTGGATGATGAGGGCCAGAGTCATGGACAAGGTGAAGATGGCGGGGCCATTGAGCGTGACAGAGATGGCTTCCTGCTTGAGGACACAGCTCACGGAGGCCTGATCGAGGTCCAGGCCCACGCCGCAGGCATTGGGGGAGGCAATTGGCTCTTCATGAAGGAGAGTTGAGGCCGACGAGGTGGTGATAGCGACGGACATGGCTGACTTTTCTTGTTCTTACGAGAGGTTGAGACGCATGGGCACTAATATGCACAGCCGCCAGGCTCGAGGAGGATGGGATGAGGGGACTTCGAGCGGCGGATTTACAACAATGTGGAAGAGATGAAGCACGATATAAGTAGTTGGTGCAAGAAAGAAAAAGAGAGGGAAAAGATTGGCGAGGGAAAGTGAACGCAAAGTAAGGGTATGTGGTCAACCAGATCTGACACACGAACGAGTGACCACGAGGTTCAACTAGCCACCGGGGGGTCTTGTCGCAAGTCAGACTACCTTATGCGGGGTCGCAGGAGCTGGGCGTCGAGGTGACTGTTGATCAAGTGACGGTGTTTGACAAAAGCGTCAAATCTGAGTGGCCAGATTTAGGTGAAGGGAAGTCTGAACCACAAGCCGCATATAGCCTTTGGCCTGCAACTCTTTACACTAGGCTCGTGCGAGGTAGAGATAGGCAAAGTTCTCGCCTCGGCGACCAAGCTAGGGCAAAGCCAGTACCGTGTACCGTGGCCCTGTATGCATCAGGCCTCCTGTCCACCGACTTTCTGAGGCAAGCAAGAAGCCGTTGTAGAGTAATGCAGCCCTCAGTCAACGCTGGGCCCCTGCCGTGAGTTGGTCACTCCGGACGTTGGAGCGGAGCACTTATCGACTGTTTGATTGAGAAATCAAGTGCTCGAAATCAACGGGGTAGTCGTAGAAGCTCATGGGCATTCAACGGTAGCTGTCCTAGGCCTTGGTGTTGAGTTGAGGTTGTAAGGTTCCACCGCCAGTTCGGGACAAGGTTACCCAGACCGCCGGTGACGGAGGGCTTTCTGGGCCCCCCGGGACGGTGAGAGGTCAGGAGGATGTGCTTGAGTTTGCCAGGAGCCGCCGGGGCACTTTGGGGCCAACGGATGCTTGTCTCCACCGTGAGGGGCGCACTTGTACAACTCGACGGCGGCGGGTCAGCCGATTTCCTTCCGAATATGTCTTCATTGGCTGGCTGCAGAGTGACGACTCTCGTAAAGATCCTCAAAGGACGATGTGTTGCTTTGCTCGACATCTGATGTTGGGTGATCCTCAGCTCGTATTTTCAGGTGATGGTGGGTGGTGCACTGCCTCTTAGACTATTGACAGGTCTTCAAGCATAACGAGTTTTGAATTCCAGCAGCAAGTGCCTAAACAGACTCTTGCGAATTGCACACATTTGGGCAATAACAACAGTGCCAGAGTCTCGCTGAAGAACCTCAGAACAGAGTTGCATTTTGCAGTCAGGGTGACCACGTCTCTGGAGACACGATCCCACCACCGGGGAAGGAGGCCGTGTGACTATGACTATAGAGTTTGCACATGTTCAAAAGCATCGAACTGCTGTCTCCTCTTCTCGCCTGGAGCATTGAGCGGCCGAGGAATTGATTGGAATTGAGAAAATGGCACAGTACATGAACCGGCATGAATCTATTAGGAATGTGGCTTGCCACTGTCGTGAAGTTTCGCTGAGACCGAGAGACTATTCTTGTCGGTTGCGGGCCGTGTTGGGTGAGACGGGACGCGTCAAGGTCTTGCCATCGGAAAGCGCCAATCTAAGCGATGCGGCGCCTTTTGGACGCGATTAGATACGCCGTTATGCGGAGCTTGGGAGTTGGGTTGGACTAAGTGGGTGAATGCATACCTACCACCTCGCAGCCACGAGTTCAGGGGATAGCGTTGATCAGGGATGAACATAAGGTATGGATAGGGGGGTTGCATTGAGAGGGCGACTTTTTCTCTGTACACAGCGAGCGTACCACTGCACGTTGTTAGTGCTACAACGCAATCACAGTACGGGGATGCGCCGTAACGACTTCCGCCCTCAGCCACATGCATGACAAGATGAAAACTGGGTATGCAAATCGATATTCGCCTGCTAAATCTCGGCGTGTTCTAAATTTGTTCTGCTGGAATCTGCGAGGCCGACGAGACTCGATTGACGGATTGGCGGACCGGTATGGTATCTCATTGCGATAATCTCCTTTGTCGCACTGGCACACTGCGTCGGTGCTTTCTTTGGGTAATGTTTGAAATGAGATGATGAGTCGCGGTCTGTAGGGATAGGCGTTCTTCGCTGGTGGTCTTGCTCGAAATTCGAATCCATCCTTCCTCATCAAACAGCTTGGCAGCATGACGTCGATTTTTTGGAGACTCGAGAGGAGACACTGCGGGGTGCATGGATGGATCAGGATTCAGACTCGAGATTGAAGCTGGCTGAAGAAATGCCTCCCTCGAGTCGGACCGGTAGTTGTAGGGTCCCTCATGGAATAATGGAGAGACCATGTCTCATGGCACAGCCAAGAGCGTTGGAGCAGGACTCAGGGCTCAGGAGAGGTTAAGACGAAACAGAGCAGCGCGTCCGAACTTGTTGCAGCTTCATCCAGTCTCATTGTGCAGGTCAGATGAGAGTTGCGACAAGACAGGAAACGACTCCATGTGTGGCGCGGGCTGTGATTGATTCATTCATCGGCTGCAGTTGCAAATTGCAGACAATCCCTCCTGTGGTTTGAAGCGAAGTGCGAATTGCGATTGGGGGCCGGCGAGTGATCCCTACCAGGCCACCTAGTCAGTCGCAAGTTGGCAACCCAGTAAAGTAAGCAGCATCGTTGTTAGTTGTCTTCTTTCATCGTGATGCGGTGGACCAAGAGACCAAAGACGGTCAAGACTCGAAAGAGGAGTGTCCAGACAGTGTCAGGATCCTTCATTTTGAACTTCGAGCGTCTTGGATTTGCTGGATTGCAGGAGGACGGGAAGTGGAACGCGCCTTCAATCAAGGAGCCGAACCGTAGCGGGCAACCAGTCCCGGAGTTGGTTAAAATGGTTGTCAGGGAGACCCCAGTCAAGCTTTTAGCGAGGAAGTCGAGACCAAGGCGACAACCCTTGCTGTGCTCCTGCAAGTTCTGGGAGACCCGCATTGGCGCGCACCTAGAATCCAGTCGTAGGCGGCGGACCTAGGAAGAAAAAGCAGGAGAGGACAGGCGTTCATCTTGCATCTTGTTCGTCGCTGCTTTGGGCCAAGGTCCCGGTGCGGCGCTGCGGCCCTTGAACCTTTCTTGGTCAACATCCAATAGGCAAAAGAAGAAAAAAAAAAAGTCTGGCACCGACAGGACGGGGGAAGGGGGCAAGGCTGCAAGCTGGAGGGGAGTGGAGTGTCCGTAATTTTGCCAAAAGACACCGCCTGCACGCCCTCGTTGCTCAGAGCAACATGTAGTTGGCCAGTCATCGTCTGGGACCCCCACCAATTCCCCAATCAGATCCAATCTTTCTAGTGGCGATGGCGTGGGACGCGGATAGGGGGGCCCAGGAAAGAACCAGCTCCACACCCTCACCCTCCTTCCCGGTCCAACAAAGACAATGAACTCCCCCCCGTCACTTCAAATGGAAAGCTCAAAGCAAGGACGACACACACCACTTCACAAGTCACAGTGTGCATCCCACCCAGAATACGTAGTGTAGGCACTTGGACTGCCGAACCACACTGGACGTCGACCTTAGCAACTCCGAAATACGTACCTTTCCCAGGCTGTCTCTCGCTGTTTTGCTCCTGCCTTTTTTTTCTCATGTTGTCCCGCCGTCGCTGGGTCGCTCATATCCAACATTGATAGATCCATATTACTCGAGGTGGACTCTGCTGGCCCAAACTAACCTCCGTCTTTCGTTCCCCTGCTGCGCTTCATTTCCATATGATGCCCTAGCACCGTGCCCCCGAACCTCATCTCCATCTTTTTGGCTTGCGACCTCTACTTTATTCTGTCCAAAGCATTCATTTCCCACCTTCACCCACTACTACCGACTTCGCTTTTGCTCTACACTATACTCTACGACTACATTTACCGGAAACCTCACACAGGTCTTTCTGTAGTATTACGCCAATCGTTTACACCCAGGCGAGTGACAGGACAACCGCCACGCCCGTCCCCCGGGCCTCTACCATAGCACTTGGAGGTGTTCACGGGTTTCTCGTGGTAAGCAATCACCACCGATTGGCACCGCTATTGTCGTCTCTGTCTGCCCCAGAAACTAACTGACAGACTCTTTAGACTCCAATCCAGCACCAAAAATGGGTGTTTTTTCAAACCCATTGCGGTCTCGCGAGAACCGCACGGGCAGATTACCAAAATACGAGCAACTCAGTCCTCTGCGCACCAAGGAGCGCCTCTCGAACGATGACGACGACTACTACTCGTCCGACGACGAATCGGAAGACTACTCGACATCCTCCTCGCCGAGTGCGAAGAGCTCACGGCAGACTTCAGGATCGCTCTCGAGCGCGGCCATGATGCTTCCGAAGCGGGCTCTCGCGACAGCCCGCCGCCCGCGTACCCACCTTTACCGTTTCCCAAACCGAATCATCCGATACCTGTGCTTAGGACTGCTTACGTTTATGGTGGTCATGATCATGTCTCTGGTACGCGCAAGTCACGTTGAGAACAAGATGATCATCGAGGGCAAGGTAGAGAAGAAGCCAGATCCTCCGCCGGTATGGGAGTCCTTTGGCTTCATTCAAAGGTACTACGGAGGTGTTCGATCTATAGTCGCCCCTTCCAAGTACATTCCCTCGTACCCACGCTCCTCAGACGAACTTCCCTTGGACCAGCTCGACATCAACACCACCGTCACCACGACGAGCGAGGATGGCAAGGACGACGCCGTCAGACGCGCTGTGCCCAAGAGCAAGGAGTTCATCGATCACCCTGGCTCCATTTTCGTGACAAAGCCTGAGAAGATGAATGAATGTTTTATCGACAAGGACAACAAAGTTCGCGTCCCGCCCATTCGATACCTCGAAGGCCGCCCTCAAGGATTCCCCCAGCACGTTGAAGGCTCTTACGATCTACTCAACTTGCCTGAAGATATCTGCTACGAACGATTCGGACGCTACGCGCCCTACGGTTTTGGATACTCCGTCCCCGCTGGAGGTCTCGGAATTGGCGAGCACGGCGAGAAGGAAGGTTCCGATGCTGTGTGGGAGAAGACCCCTCAGGTGGACTGGCGCCAAGTCGATTGGGCAGATGCTCAGCGCCGGTGCTACCAGTCGAACAACGAGAGATTTAAACCAATGCCCCCCAAGACCCCCGCCGCGCGTGGTTTCTTCGTCGACGAACCTGCCCAAAATGCCACCTTGGTGACGCGCGACCCTCTCGACAACTTGGAGCCCGGCACCAAAGCCACCGATTCAGATACGAAAGCCGAACAAGAGCAAAAGCCCAAGGAGAAGATGTCCCGTACAGCTGTAGTGATTCGTGTTTGGGATGAGTACAACTGGCGCGAGGAGGACATTATGAACGTTCGCTCAGTCATTTCCGAATTGGCATTGGCTTCAGGCGGACGCTATGACGTCCATCTCCTCGTTCAGATCAAGAACGATGCAGCACACCCCGTCTGGGCCGATCACGAAGTTTACGAGCGCCGTATCAAGGAGCGCATTCCCGAGGAGTTCAGAGGCCTGGTGACGCTGTGGACAGAGACGCAGATGTTGTCTCTGTACCAGGGCATCTTCGATCTCTACACTCGTGGACCTGACTTGCCAGTTCACGGAGTCTACCGCGGTCTCACTATGGCTATGCAATACTTCGGCTACCAGCACCCCGAGTACGACTTCTACTGGTCCTGGGAAATGGACATCCGCTACACTGGCCACTACTACGACCTCTTCTCCAAGATGGAGAACTGGGGCAAGGAGCAACCACGAAAGGGAATGTGGGAGCGTAACTCTCGGTTCTATATTCCCAGTGTCCACGGTTCTTGGGAGGACTTCAGACAGATGGCTCGTGTTCAGTCTGAGATGGGAACAGATGGCGCTGATAACGTTTGGAAGAACATTCCTGGCGCGAAGCCTAAGGAGAACCAAGATCCCACCAAGATTACACGAGGCGAGAAGACCATCTGGGGACCTGAGCGCCCTACCAATGAGGATGACTGGTTCGAGATCGAGAACGACCCTAAGCCGCCCACCACGTACGAGAAGGACAAGTACACTTGGGGTGTTGGCGAAGAAGCCGACTACATTGCCTTTAACCCCATCTTCGACCCTGAGGGAACCACTTGGTTGCTGTCAGAGGACATTACCGGATACAACAAGAACAACCGGGACGAGCCTATGCCGCCCAGAAGAGCCCACATCATCACGGCTTCGCGCATGTCCCGCCGCTTGCTCATGACGATGCACCGCGAGACTGCTTTCAAGAAGCACTTTGCCTTCCCAGAAATGTGGCCTGTTACCGTCGCTTTCCAGCACGGCTACAAGGCAGTATTTGCGCCTCATCCCATGTATGTCGACAGAGAATGGCCCACGGAGTATCTGGCCCAGGTCCTCAACGGCGGCAAGAACGGAGCTAGCGGTGGTGCTCGTACCGCAGTGTTTGGTCAGCGTGAGCACAATCTCCGTGGTCTCAGCTGGTTCTACAACTCGGGCTTTGCTCCCAATCTGTACCGTCGCTGGCTCGGCCTCAAAGTCAACAATGATGGTGGCGAGGAGTTCGAGAAGACGGAAGATCTGAGCAAGGATGGGTCCAGTGTTGGCCAGATGCGTGGTGGTGAGGGCCGTATGTGTCTGCCTCCAATGCTCATTCATCCTGTCAAGGGAGTTGATATTCCCGTGGAGAAGATACCCGAAGAGACAAAGGAGAGCGTTCCTGAGTCTGATCCGAACGCATGAACATGAGGAGGCGGCCTTGGAGGTGTATGAAGCATGACCTGTTTGCGTTGCACTTGGTGCTGTTTTACTCTTATTTCAAGGGCTACATTTGGGACATACAGATGGTACGGCGTCTTGGGGTTAGCTTTGTTGGATTCTATAACGCATACTTTTGAGGCTTACGAGATGGACTCGTGGCTATTGTAGGAAAGGCATTAATGCGTTGCCGTATACATGATGTATGATGTACATAATGACTGTCAGGTTAGAGGGAGTCATGATGGCCAAAGAGGATGGCCAGCAAAAATCTTGCCACACAATTCGATTCAGTAAAATGGCCACTTGTTCTTTGGTGCAAGCTTTTGCCTTGGGATGTGAGCGTCCCTCTCACAACTGGAAAGGCCAATTATCAACTTCATGCCAAAGAAGAAGAAGAAAAAAAGGTACAGTCTACTTAGTTCTAGGAGCTTTTACTAGGTAGCCGGTCAGTCACCATCCCATCTCGTCGCTTCGGACTGACTTGTGGCGGCGCAGCAAACGGTTCTTAGTGTTATTCATAGGTGTCATTGCAACGGGCTGTGAGCTTCTGGACACGGTGGTGAATTCGAGCTCGTTCATAGCAGCCTGCCTAGTAGCGCATTCTTAGAGGAGGTCATCCAAGTACGCTGTCATAGAGGAAATCCAGACTTTGATTTCGTGTCAGTCACAAGGACTACACGAGGTCATCACAGCTGTGCCTTGTGACTCCGTAGGCAGGGATGGAAACCTCCTGAGAGGAGCTATTTGTGTTACAACATCCACACAGGAGAGTAACGAGCTTGTCTGCCAATTGTTGTTATGTAGATGCTTAGACAATGCCAATGGTGCTCCAGGGCTGAGAGTAAAGACTCTGTAAAAGAGGCTTATGGTCAAAGACGCTCAAAGGTTCGCCGGTATCGCACTCCGTACCAAGATAGCCAAGCTTTGCTTCATGTTCAGAATCGTTCGTGTCATTCATGTGATCTATGATACACTATACATCTCAATCTCATCTCCAGGGATGTTGTCCACACTCGGCCCTCGGAGAGCATCCTGCCAAGATCCCATCCCTTTTTTATGCGCCTTCGACCTGTCGTCCCCAGCACGGGTATCCGGAAAACGAAAAATGACGACGCCTTTTTATTTTAAACCACCCTCTTGACCTCGAAGAATCTGCGAAGCCACCACACCTGGAAAACGGACTCTCCAACGACGAGGCCAATGACGAACAGGTTCCACCACTTGACTCTGCTGTTGGTGCTCTCGGCGGTATTACGGTGAGTGCGCTCGCGAAGGACAATGTAGGACTGCTCGTCCTTGACCTGGGCGAGGAGCTCGGAAAGGTGACGGACTACAATGAGGAAGTGTTAGAGAAGCCTAGAAATTCCACTGATAGAAAGCCATTGTGCTCGGAAGCTCCTTACCTTCAACTTCGAGGGGGTCGGCGGGGACGTCGGTCTCGCTAACGTAGACAATGCCGTGGACGTTGAAGGAGACCTCCTTGCTGTGGGCGCCCCAATGCTCGTTGCCGAAGCAGTAGGTGTACTTGCCGTCGTGCTTCGCGTCGAAGGAGAAGTCGCCGTTGGAGACACTTTTGTCAAAGGTCTCGTACTGGCCTTGGGGGTTCGTGATCTGTAGGCGTAGGGAGTCAACGGTTAGTCTTGTTGCCTTTGGCATGATGCAATTGCGTGCAAAGTACGCGATTCGAAAGGGGGTGGTGGTGGGGTAGGCTGAAGCTAGATTCGTACCCAGAAGTCAATGTCCAGGTTGCCGGCGCTGCCAAACTCGCGGTCGCCGACCTGGAAGGTGACGGTCATCTTGTCGTCGCGGTGCAGCGACTCGTGGAAGCACTCGCGGCCGTGGGCGGGCAGCTGGATGTTGTGGGCCAAGGCGGAGTGGACGAAGCCAGCTGCGAGGAGCAGCTTGGCGACTGAAGGGAAGAACATGGTGGGAGCTTCCAATCTTTTTTTTCTCTGGGTGGTGTAAGAGGTCTCTATCGTAGCCGATAGGAAAAGACGTCAGACTCAGCTGGTCGGCAGGCACAGCAGAGTCGAGCTGTTCTGGAGTCGAATGGTAGAGGTCAGGGCCGGAGGAAAAAAGGAGCGACGTTGGCTTGTGTCCAGGCTGTTCTCCAGATCGGTTCCTGAAGGTGATCCCTGTTCCTTGAGTCTGGACACTTTGGCGACGTCTGGTTGGACTTGAGGCTGAGCCAAAAGAAGTCTAGCTCGGGGGGCCAGACGTAATGGACCGATGCTTTTCCGACTTTGTTTCTCACGGTACATGAAAGCTAACCCCTGCACGTGATGCGGGTACTTTGTGCTTCAGAAGGGCCCTTTAGCGGTTGACAACGCTAGAAGGGAGCATACAGGTGTGACAGGGAGCTTTGAGTGGCCTAGGCATGGTCCGTGCCCAGCTTGACTTGGGGCCCTCAGCACGCAACCTGAGGTGCCTTACCTTACCTTATGGAACATGACAGCGTGGGCAGTTTTAGGAATCCCAAGGGCAGGTATCGCCAGACAGCAGCTTGCTAGGGAAGGTACCTCGGCGGGCCACAGGGTGGCGTCCGTTTGTAGCGGTGGTCGAGTAGAAGTGGGGACACAGAGTTTGAAAAACATGGCCTTTCTGAAAACCACCACCAACCTCGTCGAGCCGAAGATTATCTTAGCAAAGCCCACCCCCTCTGCTCGCCTCTATTCCACCCACCTAAACTAATCCTCTTGACACTTGGACTGTCTCCCCCCCTTCACCGACAATCACACCCACGACCAAAAAAAACCACCACCACTCGTCTCCAGTCTCCCGTCGCAGAGGGACGTCGTGAAGAAGTAAGTCACTAGTATTCTCGTCATTACCTGTTTTTGTTTCGACTCCGTCCCTTTCTTTCCAGCCTCTGTGTCATCTTCAGTCGGGTCTTCGTCCCCCTCAGTCCCCTTTCCCACCCCCTCGGCCAAAGTTGCTCTTGCGCGCGTGCCTGCATCGGTCTGGACACGACACCTCAGGATACAGTAGAAAGGCAGAGCAGCCCACCACACGCCCCCCAACCCAATCCAATATCCCTATCCCTCCCTCCCTCCACGTCGCCTGTCCACATCCACTTCTTCTATCCCGCTATCTCCTCTCCTCCATTTGCGAATTGCGGCAGCCTGGTTCTCAACTTCAACTTTGACCAGTTCATCATCGCATCACCTTGCCTTCGCTCAGCGCCCAGGCAGACTTTGGTCAGTGACCCGATCCTGCCCGCCTCCGTTACGATCTGTCCTTTCCGACTGTGCTCTACGTTGCTTTATATCCCGCCCGCATCTTCTCTCGACGTCACTACAATTTAATCTAAATTCATCAATTGCGCGCTTGCTTACACTGTCGCTCCTCAACAGACTACTTCTTCCTACCCAACGCAACCGACACTTAGACGTTCGTCACAGCCCGAACCGCAACCATGGGTCTCGCATTTTCCAAGATCTTCGACAAGCTTTGGGGAAAGAAGGAGATGAGAATTCTGATGGTTGGTCTTGACGCCGCCGGAAAGACTACGATTCTCTACAAGCTCAAGCTCGGTGAAATCGTCACGACCATTCCTACCATTGGTACGCACCGCCCCTTACCACCCCATTCTGCCTCGTGTCATCATCGAGTCTCGCGCCCCCGCTGTCGATAGGTCAATGCATCGAGGAGGCGAATGGCGTGCTAATCTTCCGCCCTTTTCAGGTTTCAACGTCGAGACTGTTGAGTACAAGAACATCCAGTTCACCGTGTGGGATGTCGGTGGTCAGGACAAGATTCGTCCTCTGTGGAGACATTACTTCCAGAACACCCAGGGTATCATCTTCGTCGTCGACAGCAACGATCGCGACCGTATCGTCGAGGCCCGCGAGGAGCTTCAGCGCATGCTCAACGAGGACGAGCTGCGGGATGCCATTCTCCTGGTCTTCGCCAACAAGCAGGATTTGCCCGTATGTTACCCCGCCACCCCTCTCGCCCCTCCTTCGGCGCTCCTTGTGGCTTCATACATTTGAAGCATGCGACTGACATTTGCTCCTACAGAACGCCATGAACGCCGCCGAGATCACAGACAAGCTTGGCCTTCACTCCCTGAGACAACGCGCCTGGGTATGTTTTCCCTCGAGCATAACGAACACCGACTTCCATACTGATCCCCCCAATAGTACATCCAGTCCACCTGCGCTACCTCCGGTGATGGTCTCTACGAGGGTCTCGAGTGGCTTGCCACCACCCTGCGCAAGGCGGGTCACCAGTAAACGCCGCGAAGAGAAGCCGAACGGACTACCTCTCTTCTGCTACTCTTTCACGTCATCCCTCTGGTACGGTTGTAATTCGCAAAGCTACCGGTCACAAGGCAATCGAATAGTCCATAACTCATTTTTTCGCATTTTCTCGTCCTTCCATCCCCTCCTCCCCATGGTGGTCCCTGACATCACGTGAGCCACACTCCATTGGCATTCTCTCGACGCAGCAAGCACACACATTCTGGTCTCAAAAGGACAAGTTTCGTTTTGGAAGAAAGGGGGCGTCTTGGGTTGGGAAATCTGTACAGTCCTCACGCAGCAACTCTATACGCTTCTCCGTTCAAATGTGGCGGAGAAGCCTACTCATGAACACCCTGGCTTTCTCGCCTCCGCGCAATTCCATGAATACGGTGTTTTCTGCTCTTTTGGTGGTCTGGTTTGCCTACCATTCTCGGTAGGGGAAGGGATGAGACATGGGCTTAACGATTTTCTTCATGACTGGTCAGTCCCCCTATGAGGGGTGGTTCGCCCTGCTTTCCTCCAGTTTGTCGTCTTTGTTGTTAGGTATGGAGGGGGTTCAGGTAGTTCTAGCCTTGAGAGTTGGGACAGAATCGTTATAGACTTGTCTTCCTTTTTTTCTCACAAAGTTTCATGGTGCCACGGGATATGCGATAACGTTCTTTTTTTTTTCCTGGTGCCGCAGTCCCAGCCCCTCCATTCCTTGACAGGCCCCTTTAGTGAAATGTCTCGCGGCATCCTCAGCCTAGAACTCTAGCCCGCCCCCCTCTTGAGGCATACACTTCAACGCCGTCTTACCGCAGAGCCCCTTTGTGGAATGCTGTCTTGGACGCGTGGGTGTGGGTACTCGACGTCACAGGGATGGGATGTAGGCAGATGCGACTCAAGAGGACAAATGGCTACTCGTGAAAGGTGGGTATAAGTGCACAGGCTCACTAGATGAGTAGGATCGAAACGAGTTTTGTCCGTGGGTTCTGGGATGGAATATGTGAGTAGAATACATGTGTAATTATAGTCTATTTGTGGTTTTCCAGTCTTACACAGCGTTTCCACAACGCCACAATGTTGGTAGATAAACACTTTCAAGAGAGGGGAATACAGCCTTTTCCTTCCATGTACTCCGTGCTCCTAACAATGATTCAGAACAAGTATTCGTACATGTCGTAATTAAATGTGTCTTTTTCACGCCTTTGACTGAGCCGCAACTTCGAGGCCCGAGTTATCCTCCTTGATACTGACAACCGCCGTCTCACCAGAACGCAATTCGCCGCGGATGATCTTGTCCGCGAGCCCATTGCCAATCTCGTTGGTGATGAGGCGGTTAAGCGGCCTCGCGCCGAACTTGGGATCGTAGCCGCGCTCCGCGAGCCAGTCTCGTACCTCGCCGCCGACGTCGAGTGTGATGCGCTTGTCGTCGAGTCGCTGCTGTAACTCGTGCAGGCGGATGTCGACAATGTCCCGAAGGGCGGCGAGGGCGAGGCGCTTGAAGACGATGAAGGAATCAATGCGGTTGAGGAATTCTGGTGGGTAGTTTGCGGCCACGACGTCCATGACGGCCTTGCGGATGGAAGGGTCAATCTCGCCGTCGGCTGTTTCCTTGTACGGGTGAATGTGGTCCGCGCCGACGAGGATGTCCGCACCGAGATTGGACGTCAGCACGATGATGGTGTTGCGGAAATCGACCTTATGACCCTGGGCGTCGGTGAGGTAGCCCTCGTCAAGGACTTGGAGGAGGAGGGCTGAGATGTCGCGGTGGGCCTTCTCGAACTCGTCAAAGAGGAGGACGGCATAAGGCTTGCGGCGAACGGCCTCGGTGAGCTGGCCGGCGTCTTCGTAGCCCACGTAGCCGGAGGGCGCTCCGATGAGGCGGGAGATGGTGTGCTTTTCCTGGAACTCGCTCATGTCGAATCTAACGACGGCCGACTCGGTGGAGAAGAGGAAGCCCGCGAGCTTCTTGCAGAGCTCCGTCTTTCCGACACCGGTCGGTCCGAGGAAGAAGAAGGACGCCAGCGGCCTGTTCTCGCCACTGAGACCGGCACGCTGGAGGCGCACGGCGTTGGAGACGGCCTTGATTGCCTCGTCCTGGCCGCGGACAGCCTCACGTAGGGAGTCTTCCATGTGCACGAGCTTCTCAATGTGGCCAGAGGTAAGCTTAGAAATGGGAATGCCCGTCACCTTTGAAACGACCGCTGCGATGTCATCCGCAGTGACGGCATCGTGAATAAGGCTGCCGTCTGACTTTTCACCGTCTTTGGGAATCTTTTGCTCAAGGGCGGGGATGACGCTGTATCTCAACTCAGACGCGCGGCCGAAGTTTCCTTCTCTCTGTGCCTGGTCCAGCTCGATTCTGGCCTTGTCGAGCTCCTCCTGAGTCTTCTTGACGGCATCGATCTCGCCACGTTCAGCCTCCCAGCGCTTGGTGAGCTCAGCGATCTCGTCTTCGTACTTCTTCAGATCCGTCTGCAGCTTGTCGCGACGCTCTTGGCTGGCTACGTCCTTTTCCTTGCGCAAGCTTTCGAGTTCAATCTGAATGGTCATGATCTTCTGGTCGAGGGCCATGATGTCTTCCGGTTTCGATTCATGCTCGAGCTTGAGATGACTGGCAGCCTCGTCCATCAGGTCGATTGCCTTATCAGGCAAGAATCGGTCGGTGATATAGCGGTTAGAGTAGGTAGCGGCTGCCACCAGGGCACCATCGGTAATGCGGACACCGTGGTGGACTTCGTACTTGTCTTTGATACCGCGTAGGATGCTAACTGTGTCTTGGACGGTGGGTTCGTTGACAATAATGGGCTGGAATCTCCGGGCAAGGGCAACGTCCTTTTCGATAAGGCGGTACTCCTCCAATGTAGTTGCACCGCAGCACTGAAGCTCGCCACGCGCAAGTGCTGGCTTCAGCAGGTTGCTCGCATCGATCGATCCTTCGGCCTTGCCGAGGCCGAGCAATGTGTGCAGTTCATCGATGAAGAGGATGACTTCGCCCTCTGCCTGCTGGACCTCGGTCAAGACCTTTTTCAGTCTCTCTTCAAAGTCTCCCCTGAACTTTGCGCCCGCAATCAGCGAGCCCAGGTCCAGGGAAATAACACGCTTATTCTTGATGCTCTCCGGGACGTCGCCACGCACAATTCTCAGTGCAAGGCCTTCGAGGATGGCTGTCTTGCCGGTGCCGGCTTTGCCAATCACGACAGGGTTGTTCTTTGTCCGCCGTGATAGAATCTGAATAGTTCGTTGGATTTCAGCGTCACGTCCAATGACAGGGTCGAGCTTTCCCTCCTTGGCTTTCGCCGTCAGGTCGATTCCGAATTGCTCGAGTGCCGGTTTCTCTGGCTCGCCACCCATGTTCATGCGGTGTGTACCGCCTGGGGGATGAGGTCTTCCGTTTGCATAATTCCTGATGGCTATCGTTGGTAGAAGCCTGCTACTGCTTCTGAGTGCAGCAGATTCGTTGATGATGGCTCTTGAGATTAGTCGTGTAGGTCTGGGTGACGATGACCCGACGAAACGCCGGGCGGAAGAGATGAGTTGTCTTCTGGCTTGCATTGTGACTACTGGTCATTGCCAGATGTTACAAAAAGTTGCTCCAATATGACAATTATACAACAAGTAAATGAAAGACAAGTACACGCCTTCAAATATCCTTTGAGATACCCCCTAGTGTTGTCAAGTCACGACGTCGGAAGATTTCACAAGTACATTCTCGCACTTTCGGTGAGGTCTAGCATGTTCCGAAGCTTTATCTTATCAGCACGTGGCCCATGCGCATGACGAAATGCGACCACCGCCAGCGCTGTTTGCCCATAATAGGTAGGCAGTCTTACGAGTACTCAGTAGAACTACATTGATGGAACAGAGACTGTGTTTGACGGGGTCAAGAAAATATGTCAATGAGAGCTCTTAAGTACTGAGATATTTTTCGGGTAATCAACAGCTCACTCACTGGTTGGGGATTAGCAAGAGAGGGAGTTACGTGCTGCTTGTTCGTTTGTTTACGTCTAGTGACATCCGACTCCGGCCCTGAGCTGGGAAGCAGACCGATCAGTGGGCCCTGGGGGTCTGGCCCCGGAAAATCGGACGCACAATCTCCCGTTGGAAATTGTCGGTATGGGAAGGGGCCCTGGCTCACCGCCCGCTCCTGCAGAGAGTGCAGAGGTTTCTGCCGCATGCACTCTGCCTAATCCGGACTAGCGGAGGGCTTGCCTTCCACACCCGCCGCCCACACTCGCTAGACATTTTCTGAGAAATCGATTTCCCGCCGACCCGACCCCAACAACCAAAGCCTCTCGAACGAGATCAACCACTTCCTTCTTTTTCGTTCACGATCCCCATTCTCCGCTAACCACAACAGCCCTCCACGAGGACCGAGAGCAACCATGTCGGCGAAGACGGAATCCACGACCAAGAAGTTCGGCTCGTCGACTCGGGTCGTCCCCGCCCCCTCCCAGAAGGCGCAGAAGTGGTACAACGCCGACGATGAGCCCGAGGCCAAGAAGGTGAGTTTACTACATCTGCGTGCTGGCGCTGCTCGGAATTTTGCGCATGTGCGATGGAAGGAGGAAATGTCATTTCGAGAACGGTCACGAGTTTGGTCTTGGGATGTAATTGGGAGGTCACGACAAAGCGAGCGCAACAAGTTTTTTTCGAATTACGACGCAAAACTTCAAGAGCCCAAGTCGAATCAGCCAAGAGATTGCACGAGGGAGACAACATACCAATACGGGCATCACCAATCGCAAATCGACCAACGCACACAAAATGAATTGGAGGCATGGAGGAGGAAGACGCTCGTGATCAACGGAATGACATATCCCCCTTTATCACAAATGACGAATTTCGAGCAACCCGCACAAAATTCATGAAAATTGGCGACGGCGATACTGACGACGAGTGTCACTAGGTCCGCAAGGCCGTCCGCCCCTGGGCTCCCCGCCAGACCCTCCAGCCCGGTACCATCCTGATCCTCCTCGCCGGCCGCTTCCGCGGCAAGCGCGTCGTTCTCCTGAAGACCCTCGACCAGGGTGTCCTTCTCGTTACCGGCCCCTTCAAGATCAACGGCGTTCCCCTCCGCCGCGTCAACTCCCGCTACGTCATCGCCACATCCTACAAGGTCGACGTCTCCGGCGTTGAGTCCAAGAAGATTGAGGAGATCTCCGCACCCAAGTACTTCACCGCCGACAAGGCCAAGAAGCAGGTTGGCGAGGACGCTTTCTTCAAGCAGGGAGAGAAGCCCGAGGTACGATTACATCCTTTGGGACATGCAGATCCAGGTCGAACACAATGGAAACGGGAGACTGACAGTACGTGTGTTTCTACAGAAGAAGGAGATCAACAGCAGCCGTGCCGCCGACCAGAAGGCCGTCGACAAGGCCCTGCTCGCCAGCATCAAGAAGGTCGACATGCTCGCCTCCTACCTGGCGAGTTCCTTCAGCCTGCGCAAGGGCGACAAGCCCCACGAGATGACCTGGTAAACAGTTTTTTTCCAACACCAAAAAAGCTGTTGAGAGGGAGGTTTCGTTTGGCGTGTGGGCTTTTCGGGGGTTTGCTCTCTTCGTCGCTGGTCGTTTCAAAAATCAAGGCTTCCGGATGATGTGGACATAGAGACTCCGTGAGAAAGGAAGGGGACAAAGTCAATTGGGATCAAAAAAAGAAGAACCACACATTTTTTTACGCCCAGTTCGCAACGGTTTGAGGAATGTTGTTGTAGACGACGAAGAACTTATGGCTACACGGGCTGGGCTGGTTTTGCCAATTGCATTTGGAAGTCGACGGCATCGGTCACATTTGGCGTCTGTAATGAGGTTCTTCACAAATCCAACACACAAAGAAGATAACGCATCCGGTCCAACGACGACGTGCCTCCCCCTTTACGAGGGAATGACAATATTTGACATGAACCATACACCACACTTCCTTGACTCGTGATGACTAAAGTGGGTGATGTCAAAACTTGACGTAAGGAGCCTGAGAAAAATCTCGAGAGTCTTTAAACAGCACCCACTGGGCTTCATGTTATGCCAATTGTCTATGAAACTTGGAATGTTCTGGCCCCTTTAGGAGCATGGTATTACAAGGTTTATTATGTTTAATGCAAGACCCCCTTTTTTATCTCTTCACAGCCAGTCTCTTCACAGCTTGGCCGTCTCGGACTTTGGGCTCAGTCACAAGTCACGATCGACCCAGCTCTGGATGATACCTGCCGGGGACGCCTCGTAGTGCTTGATGTTGACCTTGCCTGTGGCCTCGTCGAGGTAGGTGTTGGCCTGGACGAAGACCTTGCGGGGCTGCTTGTTGGCCAGGACGACGTTTCTCGCCTTTGTGCCCCAGAAATCCATGTCGACGTTGGTCATCTCCTTGTAGAAGGCGGTACCGTTCTCGACGTCGGCAGTGGCCTTGTACACGTGAAGCTTTTGGAGGTACTTTCCAACGGCTGCAAATTGTCAGTCAGCCTTAATGTGCCCCAAGTGCACGTCACGAGATTGGGGACAACATACCCTCACGACCGGTGGTCAGAATCTTTGAACGGTCAAGCTTGATCTCCAGGTCGGACAGATCATCCTTCTTGTATTCCAGCTTGCAGAAGTCGTCGCCAGCCTGAAGGAAGCACTGCGGAGAGTGATGGTCAGCATTTGAGCATTCATACGCGTACGTCATTGTCACTAACCTGCAGGATAGAGAAGCGAGCCTGCGAGTGCGCTTGGCCCCACTTTTGGCTCTTGGGATCCCACATCTCCAAGGACACGAGACCGGCGCGGGCCATTTGGAGGTAGGCAGCATACAGGACGTTGCCGGCCTCGTTGTTGATGTCGGTGCTTCCATCGCCGAAGCCGAAGATCTTGAGAACAGGGAACTCGCATCTAGGACCAGATTAGTCAGGTGTTTCTACACAGACAATTGCAGGATACATACCCAAGGTACATAGCGACAAGCTCAGCACGACACTCCTCGTACGAAGCAGCAAGACTGCCGAATACAGATCCCCATGTCTGTCCAGGCTTGTACCATGTGGTCACAGGCTTGTCGGTCAAGGGGCTGACAGGAGGGTTCTTCTCGTCGAAGTTGTAGGTTCCAGGGGAGGTCTCCTGAAGAAGCTTTCCGCAACCGTGGCCAGTCAACTCGTGAAGGCCAACCTGCACCTCGAAAGCAGGATCCCTGTACTTGTGGTACAATTCCAAGTCGGCATCGGAGATGAAAGGAATCTTCTCGTTGGGAGCCTTGGCGCTGAGGACGTTGCCAAGAGAAACGTTCTTGAAGCCTTCAGTCTGTCTAATGTCATCGTAGTTGGGGATGTTGATTCCAGCAGGAATTCCAGATCCGGCAAAGGTCAGAACTTCGAGTGATGTGAAGTCGGGCGACAAGAACTTGTCCTTCTCGAAATCCTTGCTCCATGGGAGAAGGGGAATCAGTTCGGGCGCAGCGGAGACGAGGGCGCCAAAGGCACGGGTACGCTCCAGGTTGACCACAGATGCAAAGCCTTCCCACTCGCCACGAATACCAGCGGGATCTCTGTAGGTCTCGATGAAGCCAATGTTTGACTCAACCATGGGGCCCTTGTCTCTGATCCAGAATCTCTGGCTGTCCTTGAATGCGAGGAGGGAGCCACTTGAGAAAGACTTTGCGTATGCCTCGTGCATCTTTGCTTGGTTCTCGTTGTCGCTGTTCTCCTGCGCCTTCGTGATATACTCGGCAATAGCCTTCATCTCAGCGGCATAGTCGCCGTACACCAGCTTGATCGTCTTGCCCTTGAGGAGACCATCCTCAACCTGGAACTCGGTCTCTTTGCCGATGTCACCACCTTCGGCGGGAACGCTCGTGACAGCTGAGGCAATGAGGATCTCGAAAGTGCCCTCCTTGGTCTTGCGGAGACGGTTATTCTCGGGGAGAAGACCCTTCTTCTCCATCCAGGCAGACACAGCTTCTATCTCCTCCTGGGTAATGTGAGGGGAATCGGGGTAGTAGGTAGTCATGTGACCCTTGTCAGGGAATCCGAGGTGCATCAGCGCCTGCTTGTCCGAGCTGAAGATGGCACCGTTGGTCGCGTTGTAGAAGCGCTCAGCCTCAGGAGAGGTAGCAGCAAGAGCCGCGAAAGTCTTCTCATCGGCTCTAGGGATGAATTTGGCGTCGCCGAAGCTCTTGTAGTTGCCATTGTTGCCCAAGAATTGAGCAGCATACTCCAGGAAGTGGGTCAATTGGCTCTCGTCGACACCAGCCTTCTTGGCAAGGCTGTTCCAGTCACCACCACTGCTCTTGTGTAAGGCAATGATGAAGTCGTAGATGGGCTCTGATTCTGGAGAAAGTTGTCTGAGCACAATGCGGGTTCCCGCAAACGAGGCTCTAACATGTCTGTTAGCTTCCGTTCCCTCATGAAAGCTTGGCATGGCTAACACCAAAGATGGCATGGCATCACGATGAGGTTCTTACTTGCTGATGAAATGCGCATAGCGCTTTTGCTTGTCGGTGAGGGGTTCAAAGTGCTTCTCAATCTCCAAACGGACGACGCTCGGCGGCGCATCAGCCAGGTAGTGCTTGAGCTCCTGAGCGTTCATTGTGGAAAATCTCTGCCGGCAGGGTTTCGCAAGCAAGGGAAAGTGATGTCTAGGTCTCAAAGTCTTGGGAGAAGTGTGAAATAAGGAAGAAGAAGCTCGCAAAGATGTCAGCCTTTGGAGGGCGGAAATGGATGAAACCCGCATGAGGAGTCGAGATGGTGCCGCACTGGTCATTGGTCACTGATGAGGCAGGTGCAGTGGATGAGCAGACGACAACTGTGTTCAGGCGCCGCCAGCAGCGGGGAAGAGCCACACAAGCCGCAGACGAAGGTTCGTTATTTGAACAGGGAAGCGGCTCTCTATGCACAGGCCAGGGGCGTCTCTATCGTGGCGCTCTGTGGCTTGACTCTCTTTTAACTGTAACGATTGGCCATCTTGTTGAAAGCCACTTCTGCTGGCCACGAGACCTGTGAAAATAATCGCCCAGTCTGTGAATAATCTCGCATGCCATGGGCAACACATTCACCTCCCCAAACAGGCTTGGGGGCAGGCGACGACGTTGGAGCTTCAGCCACAATGAGGGGCAATACTGGTACTTTTGTTGACGAAACAACTGATTTATTTACAAAACTACAACCAATAGAGAAGGAGGGGCAAGCGATGGGAACAGCAGAAGTCAGTCCCCCAGTGTATTCCACTATACCTGAACACATGATTTGCTGTCATTTCAGTTTGAGTCTTTGATATAACAAACGTCTGGGATCTCGCCTGCTCGTACCTAGAAGAGAGCCCGGCTAGCCGCGGTTAGTGTTGGCTCATAAAATGCGAGTGCCATCCATATGAGGCTTCTCAAGGAGCGAACCACCAACTCGAAGTCGGTTTCAACACCAACACTGTTGGCTGGATATTTGGAAAGACAGACTTCCACTTCGTGAGAGACATTGAAAATCCTATCATCGAGACATAAGAATCTTGGAGAAATAAGTGCATGATCTGAGCCGTTTACTTGCTTGACAGGTTTGTCCCTTTTGCCCGCACTTGAGATTTCTTGAGCTTATGAGAAAGCATTGATTGTTGAGACGTAGCGTCCAAGAAAGCAGCAGGTTGAACTTATCTTGAGACACGCGGCCATTGATTGCAGAGTAGAATGGCTCCTTGATAGCGCGAATGAAGAACCTACCATTCTTTACTACAATAGCTGGAAGATAGGTTTCTTGACCACTGTGAAAATATTCCACTTGGCGACAGACCACCGACACCCCGGTTTATTACTGGCGAAGCGATGCCGACTCTTCCCGTATACCGTTCTGCTCACCGAGAGGACCTAGCTTACAGTCTGCACCTGAGCCTAAGATCTGCAAATCGTGCCTGTCAATTGCAATTTGTCGTTCTATGCATACTTCCAGAGCCAATGGATACTTTCACGTGAGCTACTTGCCCGTGCATGAGCAGGCAGACAGCATTGGCAGGCTGCAATGCGCAAGTCTTGATAATTGCTTGCGCTTCGTTCAAAATCTGGTTCTCGCCATCATATCTGACATGAATCATCATGTTTTCGCGTCGCCACTGCCATCTTCTATGATTCCTGGTCAAGCCGTGCAGACGAGACGCCTGAGGGTGTAGCAAGAGCGGCTTTGAGAGGGCATAATTAAGTGAACGCGCCACCAAGTCACTTTATATATATCCCTCAACCACGACGTGGCAAGGATCCTAGACGGCCGGACGGTATGCTGCAGGAAGCGCAATATGAAGTCGTGGTCGCATAGGCTGGTAGACAAGTTGGGTGAGTTCCTCTCGTCTAGAACGTAGCATTCGGCAAACTAAGCCACCAATGTCAAAGTTGCTAACGCAGCGTCAGCATAGCGACGTTTGACGTGTCCTAGAGCTTGCGGCCGAGAAGCTTCTCGTAGGTACCGGTACACCAGGTACCTAATGTAGGCTTTCGTGGAGGTTTGAACAAGTCTTTGGAGCGATACTGACAGGCACACAGGCAGCATCTTGATCAGGCGGCGCAACCAGTCGTTCAGAATCGCTCCACGTTTCTCTCGAGATTCGCAAGGATGTCGCTCACGTTGCGTCTGTTGTGCGACGGATTTGTTGATCCACAAAA